TTGTGAAATGCTTTTTCTACACCAATTGAGATGGTCACGTGGTTTTTTACTTCATCCTATTAAGGTAGCATATTACAATGGTTGATTTTCATATGTTGAACAATGCCTGAATTCCAGGAATAAGTCCTGCTTGGTCTGGTATATGATCCTTTTAATACAATGTTGGATTCAGTTTTCTAGTTATTTTGTTGAGGAATTTCGCATTTATATTTATAAGTGATATTGCTCTGTAGTTTTCATATAGTGTCTTTGTCTAGCTTTGGTATCAAGGTAATACTGGCTTCTTAGAATGAGTTAGGAAGTGTTCCCTTCTCTTCAATTTTTTGGAAGGGTTGGAGAAGCATTAGTGTTTTCTCTTATTTATTTGTTTGGTAGAATTCACCAGTGAAGCCAACTGATCCTTACTTTTCTGTATTCAGAAGTTTTGATTACTAATTCAATCTCCTTACCCATTATAGGTCTATTCCAATTTTCTATTTCTTCTTGAATCAGTTTTGGTAGTTTGTGTGTTTCTAGGAATGTCGTTATTTCTTCTAAGTTGTCCAATTTGTTGATATACAATTGTTCATAGTATTCTCTTATAATCATTTTTATTTCCATAATTAGTAGTAATGTCCCCACTCTCATTTCTGAATAAATAATTTGAGTCTTCTCTCATTTTCTGTCTTTCAAATGTTATCTTTTCAAGGAACCAATTTTTGGTTTTATTGATTTTCTCTATTGTTTTTCTATTCTTTATTTCATTTATTTTTTGCTCTATTCTCTATTATTTCCTTCCTGTTGCTAGCTTTAGTTTGCTACTCCTTTTCTAGTTCCTTAAAGTGTACAGTTGGGTATTTATTTGAAATCTTTCATCTTTTTTTAATATGTGCATTTATATTTATGAATTTCCCCTTAGCGTGGCTTTTGCTGTATAAGTTTTGGTATGCTGTGTTTGATTTACAATCATGTCAAGGTAATTTGTAATTTCCTATTGGTTATTTAAGAATGTGTCGCTTAATTTCCACAGATTTGTGGATTTTCCAGTTTTCCCTCCATTGTAGATTTCTAGTTTCATTCCATTGTGATCAGGAAAGACACTGTGCATGATTTCAATCTTTTTAAATTTATTGAGACTTGTTTTATGGCCAACATATGGTCTATCCTGGAGAATGTTCTATGTGCACTCGATAAGAACGTATATTCTGTTGTTATTCAGTGGAGCGTTCTGTATCAGTTTGTTAGGTCTAACTGGTTTACAGTGTTGTTCACTTCTATTTCCTTATTAATTGTCTTTCTAGTCCTATCTATTATTGAAAGTGGGGTACCAAAGTCTCCAACTATTATTGTATAACTATTTCTCCCTTCAATTTTGTCTACTAGTAGTTCATATTTTGGGGACTTTGTTGCTATGTGCATATGTGTTTATAATTGTTACATCCTCTTTCTGTATTCAATCTCTTATCAATATATAATGTCCTTCTTTGTCTCTCGTAAACTTTTTTTTATTTGAAATCTATTTTATTGGAAAATAATATACCCACTCCAGCTCTCTTTTGGTTACTATTTGTGTGGAATGCCTTTTTCCATCTTTTTACTTGCAACTTCTTTGTGTCTTTTTACCCTAAGTGAGTCTCTTGTAGACAGCATATAAATGAATCCTATTTTTTCTATCCAACCTGCTAATCTCTGCCCTTAAGAAGACTTTAATCTATTTACATTTAATGTGTTTACTGATAAAGAAGAATTTGCTTCTACCATTTAGCTATTTGTTTTCTGTGTCTTACAAATTTTTTGTTCTTCAGTTTGTTCCATTACTACTTTTCTTTGGGAGTTAGTTGTTTTTTTGTAATGTTACATTTTCATTGCCTTTTTCATTGCTTTTCTGTATATTTTTAAATTATTTTCTTTGTGGTTACGTTGGGGATTACAATTAACATCTTAAACTTATAACAACCTAGTTTGAATAGTATCAACTTAGTTTCAAGTGTATGCAAATACTCTGCTCATATATAGTTCCATCCCTCCCCTTTTAAATTGTTATTGTCACAGGTTATATCTTTAGACATTTTATGCCCATTAACATAGATTTACAATTATTGTTTTATGCATTTGCCTTTTAAATCATATTGGAAAAAAAAGAAAAGTTACAAACAAAAATTATGATACTATTGGCTTTTGTATTTACCCATGTAGTCACCTTTACCAGTGTTTTTTATTTTTTTCTTATGGCTTTGAGGTACCGTCTCGTGTCCTTTCCTTTAGCCTGAAGGACTCTCTTTAGCATGTTTTACAGGGCAGATCTCTTAGCTTTTGCTTATCCATAAATGTCTTAATTTCTCCTTTATGCTCAAGAATATTTTTTTCAGATATAGAATTCTTGGTTGACAGTACTTTTCTTTCAGGACTTTAAATATGTCATATCACTGCTTCTGGCTTCCATGATTTTTGAGGAGAAATCAGCCATTAATCTTATTGAGTATCCCTTGTACATGACGAGTAGCTTTTCTCTTGCTGCTTTTGAAATTCTCTCTTTGCCCTTGGGTTCAACAATTTGACTATTATGTGTTTCAGTGTGGCTCTATAGCATTTTTTCTTCCTGGAGTTCACAGAGCTTCTAGGATATGTATAATCATCAGATTTGGGAAGTTCAAGGCCATTATTTCCTCAAATTTTTTCTCTGCCCCTTTCTCTCTCTTTTCTTTCTGGGTCTTCTATAATGTATATGTTGGTATGCTTGATGGTATCTTGCAGGTCCCTCATGTTCTGTTTATTTTCTTCATTGTTTTCTTTCTGCTCCTCAGACTACATGATTTCAATTGTCCAAGTTAAAATTTATTGATCCTTACTTCTGCCTGCTCACATCTGCTGTCGAATCCCTCTAATGAGTTTTCCATTTCAGTTATTGTACTTTTCAATTCTAGAATTTCTCTTTAGCTCTTTTTTATAATTTCTATTTCTTTTTTTTTTTTAATTGGTGAGGAAGATTGGCCCTGAGCTAACATTCATTGCCAATCTTCCCCTTTTCGTTTTTTTGAGGAAGATCTGTGCTAATCTTCTGTGCCCGTCTTCCTCTATTTTGTATGTGGGACACCACTGTGGCAGGGCTTGATAAGCAGTGTATAAGTCCATACCCAGGAACTGAACCTGTGAACCCCAGGTTGCCAAAGTGGAGTGCATGAACTTAACCACTATGCCACTGGGCTGGCCCCTATAATTTCTATTTCTTTATTGATATTCTCACTTTGTTCAAACACTGTTTCATGATTTCCTTAAGTTCTTTGTCCATCATTTCCTTTACTCATCGAACATTTTGAAGACAGTTGATTCCAATTTCTAGGCTTCTGAGGGATGGGTTCTGTCAAATTCTTTTTTTTTTTTTTTCCTGTGAATGGGCCATATTTTCCTGCTTCTTTGTATGTTTTGTAATTTATTTGTTGAGAGCTGAACATTCTGAGTATTATATTTTGGTAACTTTGGAAATCAAATTCTCCCACTCCCCAGGGATTGCTGATTTCTGCTTGTTAGGGGCTGGAGTGATATTTTTGTGGATTTTCCAAACTATTTTGGCAAAATATGTATTCCTTGTTGTGTGTTGGTGCTGAAATTCCAGTTTGTTATCTTTGCAATCACTTAGTGACCTGACAAAGGTTCCCTTAAGTGTCTGTCTCCAAAATGAAGAAAAACAAAAAATACGGTCTTTGTAATCCCCTTGACAGAGTTGCTTGGAAGCCTCTTCAGACCATGGGGTTGAAACAACAGCCAGCCCGCAGTGATCAACACACATCCAAATTTTTGGAGGACAAGGTCCCTGTCGTCCATTCTGGCACCAGCAGGTCACACTGAAAATGTGGGCTGCTGACCACCTGGCTACCCGCCACAGGCTGGGGAATGAAGAGTGATAGGATCTACATGAACACTGAAATTCACCAAAATTCACCAGTCTCTTCACCAACCTCTCCCCTGGATGATGCCAGTATTCAACTAGAATCCAATCTTCCAAAATAGTTGCTTAAGATAATTCTTGCCAGCTCAATTGTAGACGTGGTGAGAGGATGTATTTCTGGCGCCTCCTACCCCACCGTCTTCCATCTAGGCCTTGGTTTCCCTCAAATGTTACATGAGGGGCTTAGACTAGACCAGTGAGTCCCAGCCTAGAAGCACCTAGAGAGCTTTAACAACTACTGATGCAAAGGTCTCATCCCACATAGGGAATCTGATCAGATGTCTCTTTAACAACCTCCCCAGGGGATTCTCACGCTCAATTAGGGCTGAAGACCTGGGGAGAAGGTCTGTCTCAATCTCAGGGCCTCATCATTGCTAGCATATGCAGAAAGCTCCTGGGCACCTGGTCCAGGCAGATGTGATGCACCTGGGTCAGGCAGATGTGATGCACCTGGGCCAGGCAGATGTGATGCACCTGGGTAAGGGAGATGTGATGCAGCTGGGCCAGGGAGATGTGATGCACCTGGGCCAGGGAGATGTGATGCACCTGGGCCAGGCAGATGTGATGCACCTAGGTCAGGCAGATGTGATGCACCGGGGTCAGGGAGATGTGATGCAGCTGGGCCAGAGAGATGTGATGCACCTGGGCCAGGGAGATGTGATGCACCTGGGTCAGGGAGATGTGATGCACCTGGGCCAGGCAGATGTGATGCGCCTGGGCCAGGTAGATGTGATGCACCTGGGTCAGGCAGATGTGCTGCACCTGGGCCAGGGAGATGTTCTGCAGCTGGTCTGCGCTTGGGTCTGATGCTGCACTTCCTATAGCTCCGAGATGGTGGCCCTGCAGCTGTTACATGGACCCTTCTTTGAGGAGCAGAATCCTTTCCAAGTGTTTGTCTTCTATGTTTTGCTTCATTTCTTGGGACTCTGACACGTAGAGAACTGGCTCTAAACTCAAGCAAAAGCACTTTTCTTCCTATCAGAGCAGTAGGAGCAGGTTACCTGGGAGACCACCACAGACAAGCACGAGACTCTTCAAATACAGCCTGATGGTTTCACATGAAGAGGGTACTTACCAAATAGTTTAGCCAAATGTTCTTCCTGCTTATTTGAACTTGATGCAAATTCAGTATTTTCCAAGCTCTTTTGTTGAGGATAACCTATAGGAAAATAAACCTTAGCTGTGAGTAAATCTTTTATTGGATCTGCTTGTGATCTTTTTAACGCGATACTCTCTTGCATGGTATCGTGAGAGGAGCATCATGCAGTTGGCCTGCTCTAGGGGAAAGAGCACTGGACGCGGGTTCTAGTCCCCGCTTTGAACGCCTTGTGACTTTAGGCAGTAAATTCTGTGGGATTTGGTATCCTCATCTGAGACTGGTGGGAAAGGTGCCAACCACAGGAGGCCTGTGAGGAAGGGGGAGATAAAATGTGCTGGTGTCGTCTGTAGACTGAAAAGTGCCCTCCCCTTATCACATCTCAGGGTTATTATCTATTATGAACTGCAATAAATGACGCTAGTTCCAAGCATGGTTATGCTCAGTGCCCAGTTTTGGGGGGAACAAAGATGGATGGACACACATCTCAGGGTCTTTTCAAGGAAAACTTTCCCTTCCATAGGAAATGATGCCAACGAGCAGTGACTTTGGCCGTTCTGGAAACGTGAAGCTTTCTCGTTTTGGAGGGGAAGGAACAACACCGCACTCTGCACTGACCCACACTATGGTCTGTGTCAGGGAGGGGCTCGGAGGGCCTGCGGCCGCCCCGACTTGACCTGTTGGAAGAGCACAAGGAACTCCTGATGCTGTCATTGATGAATGAAAATGAAGGTGCAAATGGAAACGGACTGCGTCAACCATCTGCCCTCGGACGTCACGGACTGATTTCAAGACCTGCTGATGCTCACGTGGCTATAGCGTGGATACGGATTAATTGCGCTAAAAGATTGTAGCAACCTGTGGAGATTCTGAGCTGTATTTTCAGGCTTTTCCTTAAGAAGGTTGTGATGTCTCTGTCTGGACACATTTTCTTCATTCAAGGTCAAGGCCAGCCCTTTGTTCTGGCCCGAGGGGAGGGAGAAAACCACCAAGGAGGAGAAACCTTTCCCCTAATGAAGGGGTTGTCAGGGCCACAGCGCCCACCTATTCTGAGCGCCACAGAGCATTCATGAAGTGCCTGCGGAATCTGAACTTTTAATACAAAATCAGCGACAATACCAGTTTTCACATGGTTTCCTCACAGATAATCTTCATAGCCACTGAGTAATTTGTGCATGTGACAGCTTTCAACTATACAAAAAAATTGGTAGGACAGTCTCCACGGTGTATGCCAAATGACTTCATGTATCACTACTTTGATCCAATAACAAAAAACAAACAGTTCTCTGTTAATGAGACATTGGTGAATCATTAGGAATAGATACACTCAATCATGCAAGCACTTAGCTAAAAACATGTTCATCACATTGTGTCAGCCAAGGGAGCATAAAAAAACACTGTGCAGGGCGCACCATCACGATTACACAGTAAAATATTCACCGTTTTAATCATGTGGTTTATGAAATGCATTGGCAGGGTCATTAGTTATGACATTGGTTTGCTAATAGTTTCATAATTTCAACATGACACACATGCCTGATAACTAATTACCCAATTTTCATTTTCTTCTAGTGCAACTAGTGTCCACCTTAAAGGATTTCTCTGTCACTTGCATGATTTGCACTAATAGACATAGTTTTTGCATATGTGACCAGCTTCTTCCCTTCAGCTTTGGCATACAAGCATCAGTGCAAAGGGAGAGATGGGCTCTGCTCCCCAGTGCAAATACTTTCCAGAGGCTGGCATAGGGGAGGTGATGCCGAGGGATGTGGGAAGGGTTCACTCCCCCAACTAGTCCCTCGGGCACTCAAGCACATTGAACTATAAAGCGTTGAATAGAAAGGTATTATTATACCTAGCAAGTGTGACCAGGAACAGTAAATGCCACTTGCAAATCCGGTTCCTGTCCTGTGAACAGCCCCCAGAGTGAGAGACCCTGCCTGACACAAGAACTTCAGAGATCACCCCAAGTACAGGAATATTCACACTTTAGACCATAGGCTTGGGAGGAGGTTATAGAGTATTTCAGACAATTCTTTCCTCCACATCTCAATTTGCATTTGCCTCATACATACCTGGTTTAAAGAATGCCAAAATGATAGGGTAGTACAAATAATACAATACATAGGCCTTTAGAAATATGTGCACTTACAGTTTTAAAGACATATACTTACTTTCTTTCATGTCACTCGTTGTAATTGATTGGCCTGCTGTTCTTCTCGTTTCATCAAAGGGAACGTTGGAAAACACTTGCAGGAGAATTTCATCTCAAGTGAAGCAAAGACAGGCATGTTAATACCAGCAATCCAGAATTAATAGAGTCTGCTCTGTGAGCACCTAAAGTAGTCTATGAACACAGAGAATAAATGATACAAACGCAATGGATATATGTTATGCTCTGAATGCCTTGTCTTGGGAAAGGGAACTTGGTCTATCTAAATCATTTCCGAAAAATTATGATTTCACTAGATATCCCAGATAGGAAACATTACCCACTAGAGACATGTGCTAGAAATTTTTTCTCTGAATCTCATGATATTTAATGTCATAATTTTTCTTCTTGCTCCTGTTGTCATTCTCCCCACCTCTGAGACTGTCCCCAAGCTGTCCCTCTGGATGAACAAACCTCTTTCCTGTTTCTACAAGATGCGCATCGTTTTCTTCCATTAAGACCTATTGCCTCTCCTAGGAAGTTTCTCACGGTGAGAGTCCAGCTTTTGTGGCACCAGACCTAGACCTAAATCCTGAGTTTGCTGTTTCCTGAAACGTGATCTTGGGCAAACAGCTCCACCTCTGTGATCTTTGGTTCCCTCACTGGTAGGATGGGGATACAATTATTTAACTGATAGAACTTTTGCAATAACTGAATAAAACTATGCATGTAAAAGCACTGAACATAGTGCCAGTGTGAGGACCATGCTAAAGGCTAAATATTTTAAAACTGCTAATCACCATCTTATTTATAACAATAACCCCGATCAGTTAGTAAATATTGCTTGCTTTCTGCTCATTGGAACCCTGCACAAGTGGAAGAATACATAGATAAGGAAGAAAAAGACAGAAAACACAAAGGAAGCAAAGATGTCAAGAAAACACGGCAGGAAAAAAAAAGATCTGCAACAGATTCTGTGGCATTCCATCACCAGCCATTTTTGCCTCCTTCTGTGCCTAAGGGTGATTGGAGCCTCAGGAGCCAGCCCTCAGAGAGACACTTCCTTCCACCCTCCTTGGTACCCAGAGGAGGGCTACGGGACACACAAAGTTCTTCCGAAGACTCCTGAGACCCTGGAAGAAGCTTGCTCCTCTGGATGGAAGAGAAAGTAGTGCTGGGGCTACACCTTCCCATCCCCTTTACCTCCTGCTGTGAAAGTGGATGTGACGTCTGGAGCTGCAGAAGCCATCTGATGACCAAGAGGCATAAGCACCAGGGAAGGCCCTGATGATCTCAGAGAAACAGGTCCTGACCTGAAGTCACTCAGCATTGCACCAAAGCTATAATTGTCTCTCTTGGACTACTTGAAACAGAAGGAAAATAAACCACTCCTTGTTTAAGTGACTAAACCCAGGTCTTCTAGTAATTGCAGCCAAGTGCTTTCTTTATTGGCATAGTGACTAAGGCAATAACTGGACATCCTTCACTTAGAGGATCCTGGCCACTCAGTTTTGATGACCCAATATTATATGGAGGAACCAAGCATAAGTTCCTAAAAATCATAATGCCCATCTAGGTTGGGACAGAGCAGAAGACTGTGGATCATTTGGACAACAGGCTTTTACCAAGCCCTGGCTCTGCTCAGAAACTGCACAAGGTGCTGGGGGTTCAAAGAGGATGGAGAAAGTGATCTCACCAGAATAGTGACATAGGAGATCCCAGCCTCCATCTCCCGACAAAGAGCAACAATTAGACAGCTATTCACAAACAAAAACAGCCCTGGGAGAGCTCTGGGTCCACTTAAGAAACCTCAGCCATACAGTGGAACAACAAACCTGAGCATAACCATACAAGATGAGAAGGAAGACAGCTTCATTGTGCTGGCATCATCCCATCCCCCAAGCTGGCATTGCTTAGTGCCAAGAGGGGACTTCCCAGCTAGAAAGACTTCCCCTCTCCAGGAAAGGAAGAGCAGGATGAGCAACCAGCCTCCCCCAACCAGTTTCAACAATGGATAGATCATCCAGACAGAAAAAGCAACAAGGAAACATTGGACTTGAACCATATTTAAGACCAAGTGGACCTAACAGACATATACAGAATATTCCATCCAACAGCAGCAGAATACACATTTTCCTCAAGTGCACACAGAATATTCTCCAGGATAGATCATACTAAAGGTCACAAAACAAGTCTTAGCAAATTTAAGAAGACTGAAGTCATACCAAGTATCTTTTCTGGCCACAGTGGTATGAAACTAGAAATCAATAACAGGAGAAAAGCTGGAAAATTCACAAATATGTGGAAATTAAATAACACACTCCTGAACAACTAATGGATCAAAGAATAAATCAAAAGGGAAATCAAAAAATATCTTGAAACAAACCAAAATGGAAATAACACCAAAACCTATGGGATGCTGCAAAAGCAGTTATAAAAGGGAAGTTTATAGCAATAAAATACCCACATTAAGAAAAAAGAGGGGCCGGCCCGGTCGTGTAGTGGTTAAGTTCGCATGCTCTACTTCAGCAGCCCAGGGTTCGCCAGTTCAGATCCTGGGTGCAGACATGCACACAACTCATCAAGCCATGCTGAGGTGGCATCCCACATAGAAGAACTAGAAGGACCTATAATTAGGATATACAACTATTTACTGGGGCTTCAGGGAGAAAAAAAAAAAAGAGGAAGACTGGCAACAGACATTAGCTCAGGGCCAATCTTCCTTACCAAAAAAAGAAAAAGTATACCTTTAAATAATAATAATAATAAAATAAATTTAAAAACAAAATATCTCAAATAAACAACCTAACTTTATACTTCAAAGAACTAGAAAAAGAAGAGCAAACTAAACACAAAGTTAGCAGAAGGGAGGAAGTAACAAAGATCAGAGAAGAAATCAATGAAATAGACACCAGAAAAATAATAGAGAAGATTAATAAAACTAAGAGTTGGTTTGTTGAAAACATAAACAAAATTGACAAACCTTTAGCTAAACCAAGAAAAACAGAGAGAAGACTCAAAATTATAAATGAAAGAGGAGACATTACAACTGACACCACAGAAATACAATGGATCATAAGAGACTACTATGAACAATTAAACACCAACAAATTGGATAACCTAGAAGAAATGGATAACTTCCTAGAAACATACAACTCACCAAGACTGAATCATTAAGAAACAAAATCTGAACAGACCAAAAATGAGTAAGGAGATTGAATCAGCAATCAAAAACTTCCTAACAAAGAAAAGCCAAGGACTAGATGGCTTCACTGGTGAACTATACCAAACACTTAAAGAAGAATTAATACCAATCCTCCTCGAACCCTTCTGAAAAATAGAAGAGGAGGGAACACCCCCAAGCTCATTTTATGAGGCCAGCATTACCCTGATACCAAAGTCAGATAAGGACTCCTAAAGAAAAGAAAACTACAGATCAATATCCCTAATGAACACAAATGCAAAATTCTCAACAAAATATTAGCAAATTGAATTCAACAGCATATTTTAAAGAATCATACACCAAGATCAAGTTGTATTTATTCCTGGAATGCAAGGACGGCTCAACATATGAAAATCAATAAATATGATACATTACATTAATAGAATGAAAGATAAAAATCTGATCATCCCAACAGACTCAGAAAGAGCATTTGACAAAATGCAACATCCTTTCATGATAAAAATGCTCAGTAAATTTGCTATGGAAAGAACCTATCTCAACATAATAAAGGCCATATATGACAAGCCCACAGCTAACACTATACTCAACAGTGGAAGGTTGAAAGCCTTTCCTCTAAGATCAGGAAAAAGACAAGGGTGCCTATTCTCAGTGCTCCTATTCAACATAGAACTGGAAGTCCTAGCCAGGAAATTAGGCAAGAAAAAGAAATAAAAGGCATCCAAATCAGAAAGGAAGAAGTAATATTGTCTTTGCAGATGATATGATCTTATATAGAGAAAATCCTAAAGACTCCACCAAAAACCTGTTAGAACTAATCTACAAATTCAGTAAAGTTGCAGGATACAAAATCAACATACAGAAATTAGTTGCAATGCTATACACTAACAATGAAACATCTGAAAAAGAAAATAATCTTATTCACAATAGCACCAAAAAGAATAAAATAGGAATAAATTAACCAAGGAGATAAAAGATCTGTACACTGAAAACTATAAGAAATTGATGAAAAAAATTGACAAAGACACAGACAAATGGAAAGATATCCTATATGCATGGATCAGAAGAATCAATATTGTTAAAATGTCCATATTACCCAAAGCCGTTTATAGATTCAGCGCAATCCCTATCAAAATTCCAATGGTATTTTTCACAGAAATAGAAAAAACAATATTAAAATCCATTTGGAACCACAGAAGACCCCAAATAGCCAAAGCAATCCTGGGAAAGAACAAAGCTGAAGGCATCACACTTCCTGATTTCAAACTATACTACAAAGCTATAGCAATTAAAGGAGCATGGTACTGGCATAAAAATAGACACATAGACCAATGGAACAGAATTGAGAGCCCAGAAATAAACCCTTACATGTACAGTCAACTCATTTGACAAGGAGACCAAGAATAGTCACTGGGGGGAAAGATAGTCTGTCAAAAAATGGTGTTGAAAAAACTGGATAACCACATGCAAAAGAATGAAATTGACCACTATCTTATATCACTCTCAAAAATTGACTCAGAATGGATTAAAGACTTAAATATAAGAACTGAAACCATAAAACTCCTAGGAGAAATCATAGGGAAAAAAGCTCCTTGACTTTGGTCTTGACAATGATTCTTTGGATATGATGTCAAAGGCACAGGCAACAAAAGCAAAAATTAATAAGTGAGACTACATCAAACTAAAAAGTTTCTGCACAGCAAAAGAGACATCAATGAAATGAAAAGGCAACCTACAGAATGGGAGAAAATATTTGCAATCATATATCTGATAAGGGGTTAATAAATATAGTCCAAAATATATGAAAAACTCATAGAAATCAATAGCAAAAAAGAAAATCTGATTTTAAAATGGGCAGAGGAATTGGATAGACATTTTTCCAAAGAAGACATGCAAATGGCCAACAGATACATGAAACAGAGTTTGACATCACTAATCATCAAGGAAATGCAAATCAAAACCACAATGAGATATCACCTCACACCTGTTAGAATGGCTACCATCAAAAAGACAAGAAATACCAAGGGCTGGTGAGGATATGGAGAAAAGGGAACCCTTGTGCACTGTTGGTGCTCTCTGCTGAAGAAGACTTCTTTGGTTACTCTCAAATATTAAATGAGAGCCTTAGAGTAAATCAATGAGTCCCAGCCTAGAATCACCTGGAAGACTTTAAAAACTATTCACGCAAGGGCTTCACCACACACCAAGGAACCTGATCGTGGGGTGGATCTGGGTGTCTCTTTTTAACAATCTCCGCAGGGGATTTTCAAGCTCAGTTAAGGCTGTGCTGCTGGGGAGAAGGTCTATCTCAGCCTCAGGGCCTCACCATCTCTAGCACATGCAGACAGCTCCTGGGCACCTGGGCCAGGCAGATGCGCTGCAGCTGGTCTGCGCTGGGGTCTGATGCCGCACTTCCTATAGCTCCAGGATGGTGGCCCTGCAGCTATTGCACGGACCCCTCTTTGAGGAGCATAATCCTTTCCAAGTGTTTATCTTCCATGTTTTTAATAATTTACTGGGACTCTGACACTTATAGGAACTGGTTCTAGCCTCAAGGCAAAGTACTTTCCTTTCCATCAGATCAGCAGGAACAGGTTATCTGGGAGACCACCACAGACAAGCACGAGACTCTTCAAATACAGCCTGATGGTTTCACATGAGAGTACTTACCAAATATTTTAGCCAAAGCTTCGTCCAAATTTTTTGAACTCGAGGAAAATTCAGTATTTGAACCTGTGGGGGAAATAAACCTTAGCTGTAAATCTTTCACTGGATCTGCATGTGATCTTTTTAACTCAATACTCTCTTGTGTGGTATCGTGAGAGGAGCATCATGCAGTCGGCCTGCTCTAGGGGAAAGGGCACTGACACGGGTTCTAGTCCACCCTTTTGTGCCTTGTGATCTTGGGCAGTAAAGTTCTGCGGGATTTGGTATTCTCATCTGAAGACTGATGAGAAGGTGCCAATGACAGGAGGCCTGTGAGGATGGGGGAGATAAAATTTGAACTCTGCAATAAATGGTACTAGTTCCAAGCATGGTTATGATCAGTGCCCAGTTTTGGGGGGAACAAAGACAGATGAACACACATCTCAGGGTCTTTTCAAGAAAAACTTTCCCTTCCATAGGAAATGATAGCAACAAGCAGTGACTTTGGCCGTTCTGGAAACGTGAAGCTTTCTCGTTTTGGAGGGGAAGGAACAACACCGCACTCTGCACTGATCCACACTATGGTCTGTGTCAGGGAGGGGCTCGGAGGGCCTGCGGCCGCCCCGACTTGACCTGTTAGAAGAGCACAAGGAACTCCTGATGCTGTCATTGACGAATGAAAATGAAGGTGCAAATGGAAACAGACTGCGTCAACCATCTGCCCTCGGACGTCACGGACTGATTTCAAGACCTGCTGATGCTCACGTGGCTATAGCATGGATACGGATTAATTGTGCTAAAAGATTGTAGCAACCTGTGGAGATTCTGAGCTGTATTTTCAGGCTTTTCTTTAAGGAGGTTGTGATGTCTCTGTCTGGACACATTTTCTTCATTCAAGGTCAAGGCCAGCCCTTTGTTCTGGCCCAAGGGGAGGGAGAAAACCACCAAGGAGGACAAATCTTTCCCCTAATGAAGGGGTTGTCAGGCCCACAGCGCCCACCTATTCTGAGCGCCACAGAGCATTCATGAAGTGTCTGCGGAATCTGAACTTTTAACTCAAAACCAGTGACAATGCAGATTTTCACCTGGTTTCCTGACAGACAATCTGCACGGCCATTGAGTAATTTGTGCCCATGGTGGCTTTCAACTCTACAGGAAGATTGGTAATCAGGTCATTAATGGTGCACGGACATTCCTTCCAGATATAATGGCTTTTGGCAAATGAAAGAAACAAAAAGTTCTCTCTTGCTGAGATATCAGTGAATCACTAAGAATCAATACAAAGGAAGTGTAAGGCCATGCAGCGAAACATTTGTTCACAAAAACCCTCTGGTTTTTAAAGAACCCTGACAAGAGTAGTTACCGTCTCCCCTTTTCCTGCTGTCGCCCCTGACTGACAGTTTGCATAATGCACTTTCATGACGCATGACACTGTTTTTGGATCTATGTCTAGTTAATTTTTGGAGAGCAATACTGTAGCTTCCTACATCACAAGGATTGTGTCTGCTGCTTCTGCTTTTCTCCACAGACCCAATATCTTTACAGTGAGAGAATTTCCCAGAATATGGTCAGCCAGTTAGTTTAGTAAATAGCAAATATGGTTCCAAATGCCCTAAGACCCTAAATAGAGAGCATGGAAATCTAAAGTGCACTTTGAAAAAGCTACGTTCCTAAAACATCTATAATGTGGGTATTCAGATATCCAAAATGTGGAACCCAAATATCCATCAACTGATGCATGGATTAATAAAATGTGATACAGCCATACAACAGAATATTATTCAGCCATAAAAATGTACGCATGCTACAATGTGGATGAAACTTAAAAACATTAAATGAAAGAATCCAGCCACAAAAGACCATGTATCGTATGATTCCATAGGTGAAATATCCAGAATAGACAAATCTATAGAGCAGATAGTAGATTAATGGTTGCCAGGGGCTGTGAGAAAGGGGGAATTATGAGTGACAGCTAGTGAGGGTCACATTACTTTTAGGGGTGATGAAAATGTTCTAAAATTAGATAGTGGTTATTCACAATTCCATAAATACACTAAGAACCACTGAATTATATACTTTAAAAGGGTAATTTTATGTTACATGAATTACACCTCAAGCTATTATTTAAAATATCATGTGTTTATATATATGAGGGGATAGATGAAACAAGATTGGTATGATTACCACATGGATGTTCATTATACTAATTTTTCTACTTTGTGTGTGTTTGAAAATTTTTATAATGAAAAGTTCAAATGTACATGTATGCCACCCTCCTGTGGAGTTCTGGATTTTGAGAAAGCTTCCAAGTTAGGAAAAAGGTAAAAGTTACTCCCTTCTGAGCAAGAGCTCGCTACGGTAGATTCAGGGAGGGAAAGCAGATGGGGTGGGCCAGGCCCCGTGCTGACCACTCTGGGATCCGTGGAGGACAGCACCACCTCCCGCCTGAGCCAGGCTCACGTGAGTCTGACCCTTCTCCATCAACGTACGTGGGACAGTACCTTTGATCAGGTGGAAAGGGCGGGGCTCGGCGCCTTGCCAACAGCTCAGGAAAAGAACAAAGAAGAGGGTGTCTGCTCCTCTCTCCTGTGCCATAGTCTGTACACCATGAGAGAGAAGAAGTCTCCTGAAGTCCTCAGACACAGCCTTGGACTCCAGGCTACTGCGGAACACGACTGTCTGTGAAGTCACTTCCGGAAGCAAGGTGGGGCGCAGTTCTACAGTGGGAAGTGGGGAGGGCCCAGTGTCTGTGGACAGGGACACGGGAGGGGGACACTGGCAGTCCTGAGGTAATTGCCTCCACGCTCACTCCCTTCGGCTCTACAGAGCCGTCCGCCATCCCGCGTGCACTGTAGCCTGCAGGCAGGAGGCTGCTAACCAGGACTCCTAAGGTGCAAGTGACAGAAACACAACTAAACCAGCATAAGCAAACTGGAATAGCTGGAGCAGCCAGAAAAACCTTATAATAAATCAAGATATCACATTAAGTATTGTTTTTTATCGTATTACATAAAAGTATAACACCAAAAATATTATAAACAGAAGTGAGTTGACGTTGTCACTCGTGCGTCATGATGTCCCCTGTGACATTTTGTAAGTATTAAACTATTTTCAAAGGAAATATCTTTATATGTCAGCACCTTTAACTGCACTTTTCTTCCTGCATTTTCACTTTGTATTGGATCCCACAAATCAGGTAGCCGGCCCTGCCCTTTAGTCCTTGTGTTCACACACAGTATGCAGGCAGGGGATGGAAGAGATCTTTGGGAGACAAAAAGAACACAAAAAGTTATACAGTTATAAATCTGAGTAGCTCCGGCATATTAGTTTGTTGCGGCTGCCATAACCAAGTACCACAACATGCGGGGCTTAAACAACCGAAATCTATTGTCTCACAGTTCTGGAGGCTGGAAGTACAAGATCAAGGTCAGCAGAGCTGAGGCCTCTCTCCTTGGCTTGTCAGTGGCCATCTACCCCTTGTACCTTCACGTCGTCTTCCCTCCACATGCATCTGCATCCAAAGTTTCTCTTCTTATAAGGATACTAGTCATAAGGGCCCACTCTAATGACCTCATTTTAACTTGATGACCTCCGTAAAGACAGACACTCAAAATAAAGCCACATTCTGAGGCACTTGGGGTTAGGACATCAACAAATAAATTTAAGGGGTGGGGACACAAGTCAAACCATAACATTAGGTAATGGCAGCAGCAAAAATCTTCTCTGAAATATCTTCAAAAAAAACAGAACAAAAAGAACATATAAAACAACACAAAACTCACACCCTCAGCATAAGCAGAAGAAAGAAAATATCCAATTTCAAATTACCAGTAAATAGAAAAATAAACCCTAACCCCAGGCACTGACTCTCTGGCTTCTGCTGCTTGCCTCTGCCGAGAGGGAACGCAGTGGCCTGAAAAGGTCTAAAATCTCCTCCAGAAAGAGAAAACCCACTGTGTGTGTGGAAATGCTGCAAATGTGTCCTAGTGGATCAATATTAACCCCTAGACCTGGGCAAGGAGATTGGTGAGGCTTCAATCAAGAAAGACCCTAAAAGAGGCTGAGTGTGGGCTGGGCATGGGGTGGAGATGGAATCCTTCAGGGGACTTTTCCCTGGGAGATTTCACTGAGGGTAAGTAGAAACTAAAGAAATGGGAAATAGGCTAACTGCAAACTCAAGATGCACAACCACCTAACTTTTTTTTTTTTTATTTTGGTGAGGAAGATTGGCCCTGAGCTAACATCTGTTGCAAATCTTCCTCTTTTTGCTTGAGGAAGATTGTCACTGAGGTAACATCTGGGCCAATCTTCCTCTATTTTGTAAGTGGGATGCCACCACAGGATGGCTTAATGAGTGGTGTGTAGGTCCACACTCAGGATCCGAACCCATGAACCTCGGGCCACTGAAGTGGAGCACGCAAACTTAACTACTATGCCACCAGGCTGGCTCCACGACCACCTAACTTTCGATCCCCACTGCCCACTCCTGCTACTTTCCCCCATCTTCCTTATCTCAACAAAAAATCAATCCTTCCATTTGCTCAAGCCAAAATCCAGTGTTTGTTCCAGAAGCTTCTCTTTCTCTCCCACCACACATCCAATCCTCTCAGTTCAATTTTCACACACCTTGCCTGCCTCCACTGCCCCAGCGGAGACCAGACCAGCATCACCTTCATTTTACTGCTGATGACACAAGAGGCCAACAAAGTCCCCTTAACATTCTATTGAACCCAAACGAGTCCCATTACCAAAATCTCCAGCACCTCCTCTCCCTCTTAGCTCTTCCTTTCCCTTCTATCTCCTCACATCACCAGAGGAAGAAAATATGAGCTGCTTTGCAACCTGAGTGCACAGTAGGGCTCCTGTGTAATCTACCAATTACCTTTGAGGGATCATCAGACTTTCTCTGCTTGAGTTCTCTTATCTCCAGGCAGATTCGTTGAGTATCTAGGGATGAAAGAAAAACATCTATATTTATGTAGTCATTCAGGTCTAGAGCAGGAGTCAATAAACTTCTTCTGTAAAGAGCCAGACAGAAAGTATTTTAGGCTTTGCAAGCCATCTATGTCTCTGCTGCAAAATCTTCTTTGTTTGTTGTTATTACAAATAGAAATGTAAAAACCACTGAAAAACATCAATGAAACCAAAAGCTGGTTCTTTGAGAAAATCAATAAAATATATAAACCTCTAGCTAGACTGATCAGGGAAAAAGATATAAGACACACATTACCAATATCAGGAATGAGAGAGTAGACACTACAGATACTACAGACATTAAAAGAAAAATAAAGGTATATTATGAACAACTTTTTGCCAATAGATTTGACAAGCTAGATAAAATAGACAGATTCCTTAAAAGACACAAATTGACATTCTTACTCAAGAAGAAACAAATAACCTGAACAGCTCTGTAGAAAATAAATTGCTTTTCTTTTTAAAAAAGAAAAACGCTCAGGGCTGGCGCCGTGGCCGAGTGGTTAAGTTTGCTCCGCTGCAGGCGGCCCAGTGTTTCGTTGGTTTGAACCCTGGGCGCAGACATGGCACCGCTCATCAAAACACGCTGAGGCAGCATCCCACATGCCACAACTAGAAGGACCCACAACTAAAATATATACAACTATGTACCAGGGGGCTTTGGGGAGAAAAAGGAAAAAAAAATCTTTAAAAATAAAAAGAAAAGAAAAAGAAAAAAGCTCTATATTAAAGAAATTAAATTTGTGGGTAAAAATCTTCCCAGAAAGAAAACTCAAAGCCCAGATGGCTTCACTAGTTAACTCTATCAATATTTAAGGAATATCACCAGTTCTACGCAAACTCTTCCGAAAAACTGAAATTGAGGGGCTACTTCCCAACTCATTCTATGAGACCAGCATTATCCTGATACCAAACCAGACAAAGATATCACAAGAAAAGAAAACTATAAGCCAATATCTTTCATAAACATAGATGCAAAAATTCTTAATAAAATTTTAGTAAATGTCATCCAACATATTTTTGAAAGGAAAATATATCATAACCAAGCAGGTTTTATCCTAGGAATGCAAGGCTGGTTGAACATTCAAAAATAAATCCATGTAACTTACAATATTAATAGAAAACTCATGTGATTCTCACAATAGATGCAGAAAAAGCACTTGACACAATCTAACAACCATTCAGAATAAAACTCCCATTGACTAGAAAATAAAGTGAACTTTCTAAATTTGATAAAGGGCATTTATAAAAAACCTAAAGTAACATCATTATATAATGGTAAAAGTTTGAATGCTTTCTCCCTAATCTCAGGATCAGAGCAAGGATGACCACTCTCACAACTGTCATTCACCACTGGTCTAAAGGATTTACCCATGCAATAAGGCAATAAAAAGAAGTAAAACACATACAGATTAGAGAGGAAGAAGTCAAACTGTCTTTATGCTCAGTCAACTTGATTATCTGTGTAGAAAATTCTAAGAAATCCTAAGAACAAATAAATGAGTTTAGCAAGGCTGCAGGATACAAGGTCAATATTTTAAAAAGTAATTGTATTAAGAGAATGAAAAGACAAGCCAGAGACTGGGAGAAAATATTTGCAAAATATATACGTAATAAAAGATTTGTATCTAAAATATACAAAGAATTCTTAAAACTCAACAAGAAAACAAACAACCCAATTAAAAAATGGGCAAAACAGAGGAGTGACATCAGCAACATGGCAGAGTGAGCTGTTCCCTTTATCTCTCCTCCTCTGAATTACAAGTAAACAGACATTCATTGACTAATGGAAGATACCCACCCAGCACAACAGGACTCGTGAGAGACCCACACAGCTATACATCTGAAGGTGGGTGGCCCGGGTCTCCAGGAAGCAGTGGCAATAGGTAAGCACCCGCTACCCCTTCCAGGCAGCAGTAAGCCAGGTCACAGGTCTTCACACAGTGACCAGCACTACTACCAGAGGAGGCAGACACAGCCCAGACCGTGGGTGAACACTATCCTGGCCAACAGGAGTGTTCACCATGGCGCCATGGCCCTACCAGTGGGAATGCACCTTGGCACAAATGTAAGAAGAGGTGACAGCAGCCCTGCACACATGTGCAAATGCTTTCCCTGCTGGCAGGAGTGCCCACTGTGCTGCTGTGACCCCACGAGGGGGAATGTACCTCAGTGTGACTGTAAGAAGAGGTGGTGGTGGTCCTGTGCACACGTGTGAATGCTTTCCCAGCCAACAGGAGCTCCCACCATGCCACAGCAGCCCTAACAAGTGGCCCTAGCTCAGACCCTGCAAAGAAGCCCTGTCTACCAAGTACAGGGGCCAGCGCAACGTAAGTGGAGGTGGAGGCAATCTGGTGCATGCACAAACGCTATCCGAGCCTACAGGAGCACCCACCATACCCACACAACTTCCAGCAGACAGGGTGGGGTCAGAAACACAATTCCTGCTTCCCCCAAGCTGTAGCAGGTGGAATCTGCAACCTGATACTACCACAGATGTGCCAGCAAAGGATTAGTTCATCAACCACCGTGAAAAACTACAGTAACAATACAGAGCAGGAAGAAAATTACAAGTCTCAAGAAACCAATCCTGAAGTCACAGAAATTTACATTCTAAATGACAGAGAATTCAAAATAGCTGTCATAAAGAAACTCAACGAGTTACGAGAAAACTCAGAAAAACAGTTTAATGAGCTCAGGAATAAAATTAATGAGCAGAGGGAATACTTCACCAAAGAGATTAAAACTCTAAAAAAAAACCAAACAGAAATTCTGGAGATGAAGAACACAATCAATGAGAAAAAATAACCTAGAATCCTAAAAAATAGAGTTGATGTTATGGAGGACAGAATTAGTGATATAGAGGATAGAAAGATAGAAATGCTTCAGGTAGAGGAGGAGAGAGAACCAAGATTTTTTAAAAATGAAGGAGTTCTTCAAGAAATATCCGACTGACTTAGGAAAAGCAACATAAGTATTATAGGTATTCGAGAGGGAGAAAGGAGCAGAGAGCTTGTTCAAAGAAATAATAGCTGAGAACTTCCCAAACCTGGGGAAAGAACTGGACTTACAAATACTTGAAGACGATAGACTCCTAATTACCTCAATGCAAAAAAAA